GGTCAGACAGTGAAAATTGTCATGGATACTATGTACTCCTAGGCCTCCCTGACAATACAACAAAGTTGCGTAAACGAGGACAAACCACTCCTTAACTAATGTAGATATTCATGAAGTTTTTTATCACTGACATATTATCATCTGGCTATTATTTTCCACTTACGGAGGACGTAGGCCGAAATTGACTCACTCTTGTTGGCCCCTCTATTCAGTAGTTCATATTGTTAAAGTGCCTTACATTTAACCACACTTTTAACAATTCGTTTCTCGCAATTGGGTTTAGAATGTCCCCTCTTGCTTAGTTCCAGCAAGAGGGCTTCGGTAATCCCCATTGCATACTCTCTCAGCTGAAGTATTCTCCATAAACCTTAATAGAATAACAATTTCATCTAATATTATATCACGCCATCAAATGCTAATTTGGAGGGCGAGAGTAAACAGTGTTTCCCAAAGGATCAGGTGGTACTATTACTTGTAGAATGAAGCTCGACATGCACTTAAAAGGCTGCGAAAATACAAAAGTAGAGAAATCTGAATACTCGAATCTTAAAGTGAGCATTTGCGGGTTGGCTCCGAAGCCAGCGAGAGAAGCTGGATAGGTAACTAGGAGGAGTAAGGAAATTCCACCCGCCTCATTCTCTCTGAATCGCACAGCTCGGCCTAGAATCCTGACGAAGGTGAGAATATGAACTAAGAGAAGTTAATTGGCCAAATCGAAACTTAAAGTTAAAACACTTATTACTGTCTAAAGTGTAACTATACCAAAAGAATGGTACTTCTTGTAAAAAGGATACAGTGATAGCTTCAAGAAAATACCTTAGCCTGCATTATTTTTTAATTATCCTATTTTCCTCTTAACACACAATTGATGGGAAATTGGTTGTAACAAGTTATGGCATTAAATAGTAAGCTGTATCTTTATATGGGATTAAATTCTATTCTAGGATGTATAATGCCTCTATGCCAATGCATCTACGTGCGTGCGACAATTGTCAAGTTTAGACATTAAAAGCCAGGTCCATCAGTTCACATGGCGGGTTTTTAGTTGGTTGTACATAATTTTCGGACGAAAGATGAACTTCAGGAGAATCGCTTGCCGACCTTCTTATCGCCTCTAAAGCAGATTTACTGACCTTGTCATTGGTGCTTATCCGAACACACAATGTATGGGAATAAACTTCTTAATACCAATTCACTCTATAATGCTATTTCTTGTTGTGCCCGTCTGTTGGGAAGAACTCAACCTTTGATGAGCCCTGCAGGAACAGAATACATACACACATATATATATATACACATAAAGTGTGGAGGCTTATTGTAGAGGTGACACCTGAGCCCCTATGGGGGTCAGCGCATGAGCAGAGTACCATGCCGAGGGGTAGATCAAAACCCGGCAGAGGTGAGACCGGCAGGTTGGGGCGCCAAATACAAGAACGCATTCCGGGCATCGCAATTCTGACAAGACCAAACGAAGCCCTAATGGAGGACAAACGCACACGTCTGTATGAACGACGAAAATGTCCGGCAGACAAGGAAGCTGAGCCAGACAGGCCGAGATGTGGAAATGAGATGGGGATTTGTTGCCGTCTCAACCGGCGGATCAGAGATGCCCAGACAGACTCGCAGACCCAAGCATACCTTGGAACGGTAGAGGAGGCGAGAAGGGCCGTCCGCGCTTCGAGGGGACTGATTGTGTCTGCGACAGCCGGCAACGACGTCAAGTCGGCTTTGACAAACGAGATGGCGCACCGATTGCCACATCCACGTCTTGTTCACACCCAGCGCCAGCCCAACAGGCAGGCCTCAAACGCCGGTGAAATCTTCTTCTCGGACCCGCCGACAGTGCTCGTGACAGATTGGGCGCCCACTCAAGCGCCATACTCAAAGTATGGTGCTTTGAGGAGGCAACTTCTAAAGAGGCTTCGAAGTAAGGCTTCTTTAAAGGTAGAATAAGCAAAAGATTGCCAATGCAACTATTGCCGCAAGTGGGAAAATTGAGCATCTTCTTGCTACTGAATGCTAAATTATACCGCAATAATCATAACTGTACCAACTAATACCACTAAAAAAGATATATTTACAGTGGAATAAGGAAAATTAGTTGTCAACTGGAGCCTTTATCAGCTGCACTGCATAGTAACGCTAAAATTACAAAAAATGCATTGGGACAACCGTTACAAGATAAAAGCATCGCAAAGTAACAGACACTGCTGGCAGACAGAGAAGAAGAATTGAGCAGGTAAATCGAGACTTTTAGCCGATACATTAAGTCAAAAATGCATTGGGCAAGAATTAATCATGCCACAGGAATTAGTCCCGTTGGAGATAGACGCAAACTAGAATAGGAAAGAAAACTTCACCAAGTAACATTCTAAATCAGGGTCTACTGATAGCCTAAAAATCATATTCAATTCGAGAACAAGTAATGCCGCCAACTTTAATGGAAAATGCAAGCCTGCCTCAGTGACATCCTACCAGAATAGATGCATTCATCCTATTTCGTTTTCCCACAATCATATGAGAAGAACTGATGTTTCAATTGAATTTTGCATGGCCCCGCTTTCCCAAAAGGTGTTCCCATTCGGGCTGGAGTGCAGTCTCGACCTCACCTAGATCATATTAACAACCCCAGCGAGACTCGAACAGTGGCAGTTCAGCGTATAATCTCGACACATTAAGCACCTGTGCAAGATCGAGACCCTGAATATAATCACTTTTTGAGAATGCAAAACTAGCCGAAATGCAATGGAAGCGTCAGCTCTACTAATATCATTGTGGGAAAATTCCACTACCAGTCTTTATTCACCTTAAACGAAATAGGATGAATACATATCATATTACTGATTTACTGGTAGTCTCTAAACCCTACTTATAAACGAAGAATCCTAATGTAAGATGGGATATAGGAGAGGCATAGTTTCCTTTAAGATTTGCGTGTGCCCTGTGACAGACTGGCGCTCGTGGTAGCATGTCGAAACTATCCGCTGTACTACCACAACACAAGTTCGAATCCCACTCTGGAGTGCTCTCGTCCAGGGTGGAATACAACTCATATATCTGGTTTAATGGTATTCTAGATAATCTACTCACTAAAAAAGTGATGTAATTGACTGCTATAGCATATATAAACTTGCTTCATCGATAATCGCAACACAGAATGTAATATGGAAAATGCCTGACAGTCTTTGGAATTCACATATGACCTGTGAACCAAGTACACTCATGACAATGTGGCCGAGTGGTTAACATGTCAAGCAAACATGCTTCGCTGTCACAATTCGACTCCCACTTGGGATGTTGATAAGACCTGTGCGAGATCGAAACTGTTCAGTCCATTGGTGCCGGGATGAGAATGACTTTTGGAAAAGCAAGGCTATGTGAAATTTAATGGAAACATCAGCTCTACTCACATCATTGTGGAAAAAATCAACTGCCAGTCCTTCTTCACCTTAAACGAAATAGGGCGAATACAGCTCATATACGAATTTACTTTAGCAACTTTGTCTGAGTGACAAGGATACCTTGTAGAACTTACCTATTTCTGTGTCCTCTGACATAGTGTTCATGATAATTTTTAGCAAAATTAACATTAGAAAATGTCTCTGCTTGTCTATCCTTGAGTAAATATTCTTAGTCTAGAAATGTATTTCTCAGTAAAAGATATTATTAACAATTAGGCCCAAAGGATAATTATCGTTCACGAATAAATGTTTG